GAAGATGATTTAAAAATTGCATTTATGGTGATTGGTCTCCTGAAATAAAGGATTGAACATATGTATACGGATTTATTCATTAGGAACGCAAAAATCTCTGGGTAAACCGACGCCATGTTTGACCATTACCAAAGAGAGAATATCTGGACCTACTGAGTTCGTGATTTTTGCAGTTTTCAGATGATAGACCTCCTCACGAGTGACAGGGTCTACGGTAGATAGGCAGTCTGTGGGTTACAGAGACAGAAAATCGTTTGTAAGATAGATAGATACAGCATTAGGGCTGCCCACGTCAATAGTTTGCTTGCATGTGAGTTTCCGAGGCTCTATCCTCAGTTGGGTCAGTAAAGTCAAACAATAGTTCCGTCAGTTTAGTTTTATGCAACTATAGACCTGACACTTTCCTCAGATTGTTTTGCACTGCTAATTAGAACTAGCAAATTAGAAGCACCTGTAAACTTCTTTCAAGTTTTCATTCACCCGTCTAATCACTCTTTGTACGACAAAACGTTTCATATAAAGGGTATCGAAAATGAGAGTTTTGCGTCTTTTGGCCGCATGCTCACTAAGTTGTTTGATCATATAGTGTTAATTAGGTTCTCTAGATATCGAGAAAACCATCGTATGTATTAGTTCCATATATACAGACTTTACTGTGTGCTATGCAAAACAATTAAAACCATGGTGACCGAGTGCACTGGTAATCAGAATTCGAATGACTTTGATCCGCTTTCATGCTGTGGCTCCCCATTTTCATTCGCTCAGTGTTCCCCTTTTCTCGTATGTGATATTTCTGGCCCGTCATAACAGCCAAAAATTCTAGTCATGCTGCTTCTACTCCTATTGAGAACAATAATGCATGCATATAAATGGATGTGTTTCACATCTAGTTTACATACTAAAATCCTAAGGGTTTAGCTATGAAGTTGAGTGATTCATTTAATTTCTGCTTCTCGAAAGTTAGAAATTTGTTTCTGTTTTAATAGAACGTTCAAATTTATATTTGTATACTTTGTGTATCTGAAACATATTTCAAGCACAATGATGAAACTAATGCTTCTGTGAATCTGTTGTCGATTTCTGAAGATATGGAACTGTTTAATGGTGTATGAGAAACATTTCACTTTTGAGTTTTTCATTTATATTCTTCTCACGCAGTAAACGCAACAAGACGATTATATTAGATTCGAGTCATATAGATCAAAGGAGTAGTGGAGTGTAAACCTGAGAGGAAATATGGTGTCATTGACGCTTACCACCGTCCACTGCCTATATAAACATTCGAAGTTTGTCCTGCACAAAATCTCTGTGCGATCTGCAGGTTGCAGTGGTGAAGCGGTGTACGTCACCGTTTAATCAGACTGGAGGACGTGCGTTCTTATTCGACCGGATATATGTATATA